TCACCTTAGTCAAGAATAGGCTCATTGTCCTCATATGCTCCTCCCAAGTGTCGGTTGATATTAGGACGTCGTCAAAGTAATGATGTACGTTTGGCACCCCTTCGAGAACTTTCCTCATTAATCGTGTGAACACTGCTGGGGCTGTCTTTATGCCGAACGGCATGAACCTGAACCGATACAGTCCCGACATAGTCGAAAAAGCGGTCGCATCCTCTGATCCTTCGGCCATAGGTACTTGCCAATATCCCTTGGCGAAGTCAAATTTAGAAAAGTATCGCTTAGTGCTTAGTTCAGCGAACATTATGTCGACTCGAGGAATCGGTTCGCAATCGGTTTCCAGAACCTTATTCAGTTGGCGGAAATCTATGCATAACCGTGTTGATTTATCCTTCTTCCTTACTACCACAACGGGCGAGTTGTAGGCCGAGTCGCACTTTTCGATTATGCCTTGGCGTAACATATCGCGGATCTCCTTTTCTACCTCTTCCTGTAGCGCAAAGGGAATGGGGAATTGTCGCACTTGGATCGGCGTATCTGTCTTCGGTTTCAACTGACATTTCATGAGACTGGTTTGACCTGGAAGATCTGAAAATACGTCCTGGAACTCTTCCAGCAGCTTCCTTGCATCGTTAGTTTGGAACTCAGTCATCTCTTCTGAGAACTGTACGTCCTTGTGATTTTGAAGCTTGTGAAGACCAACATGAGGGACCTCCTGTTCTTCGGGATCCTCTTCCACAGCCATACCAGCCAAGACTTGCCTGGGAGCTCCAAGAACTTCTCTCTCCTCGTATCTCTTCAACATATTAATGTGAAACACGGTCGTTTTCTGACCAAGGTCTATGACGTAATCCACGTCATTCCTCTTCTCAATTACCCGGAATGGACCCTTCCATTGTAGCACCAACTTGTTCCTGTCTGTCGGTAACAAGATCAGTACTCTGTCCCCTTCTCGTAGTTGGCGCGCTCGACTCTTCTTGTCGTAGTGTTCTTTTTGTGTCTGTTGGGCCTTCTTGAGTTCGTCGTGGGCGGCTTTACAGGTCTCTTCGAGTCTCTTGCGCAGATCAACCATATATTTGTATGTTGTCTTGGTCTCCGGGTCGATGTTCTCGTTGGTCCAGAGTTCCCTCAGAACCGCCATAGGACAGCGAACATACCTTCCATAAAGAAGGTCAAACGGGGAGAACCCCAGGCTGCTCTGCGGCACTTCCCTGTATGCGAAAAGCAACGGGGTGAGATATCTATCCCAACATCGCGGTTTCTCCTGGCACATTCTCTTGATCATTTGTTTTAGTGTCCCATTAAATCGTTCAACCAGCCCATTACACATTGGATGGTAGGGGGTTGTCGTCAGCAGTCTGAGCGACAATAGGCGACTGATCTCCTTCATGAGAGCCGACGTGAAGCATGATCCCCGGTCACTGACAATTTCTCGTGGCAGGCCTACTCGAGAAAACATTTGCAGTAGGCCCTCCACTACCTCTACTGTGTCGATGCTTTTCAGAGCGACAGCATCTGGGTATCTGGTAGCCAAGTCAACCATTGTCAGTATATACCTGTTGCCCGTCTCTGAACTGGGCGCGATAGGTCCGACAATGTAAATGCCGACTCTTTGGAAGGGAGTGTCGATGATCGGCATGGTTCCAAGGGGTGCTCTCGGCACCATGTGCTTAGGAATGGTTCTCTGGCACATGTCGCACGACTTCACGAATCGCTTGATGCCCATTGCAATTCCAGGGCCCGTTTTCTCGAACGCAAACCGTGGTTCAAAGTTAACTATTGTCCCTAGAACGGGGAATTTTAGGTCACGTGACAGGGCGAGCAGGGGCGCCGAGGGAGAAGCAGTACCTACAAGCGAAATGGCCGCGACGTCGCTTAATGAGGGCTAATAGTTCTGCTTGGTTCTGCCGAACATTCCTTTCGATCCGGCTGTTATATTAATGACGCGCCATCAACCTATTAGCACGTCAAGCAAAGCGGTAGTTCAGAGGGACAACTAAGCTAAACGACGGCAGCATTCCGCGAACGCATCACTCTTCACCAGTCCGGGACCCAGGACATATGACGGTACATCAGCCTTGCAAGTGTTTTTATGGTGAGTAAAAAATGTTTTGCGAACAAGCGTTGGTATACGAACAGGTTTAATTTGTTACACTATGCACGCCAACTCGCGAGCAGCGATTACTTTGCGGGGAAAGGGGTTATCTTCGATAGTCTTCGTTCCGAGTGAACAGCTGAGATATTGTACCGTTTTATTTTTTTTTTGTTCGCAGAGCGCCGACAGTATGCCGACAGCATCGAGGTTTCTACATATCCCCGGTGGCCAGCAATTCAACGGTGACGAGAACCTTAACTTTACGCTGAAGCAGTGCCGCTGCGTCTGGTTCTGACCGCGACGGTCGGTCGATGCATCCACCAATGGAAAAGATAGTACAAGCGCGGTATACGAATCAACCTTGCCGATGCCATCTGCAGAAGTCGCAGAAACGAGAAATAAACAAACACTTATTACAAAGAAAGTTGACGAGATCATCCTTTCGCTTTTTTTTTCGTTTTTAAAAGTGATATTAGGATTATCTTTCGTCTTATTGCGATATATAGCAAAACGCAGGTGTGCGGGTAGAGAAACCAAGGTAGCAGACGATAGTGTCCTGACCGCAAACGTCGGTTGAAAATGGACCAAGCGTCAGTATCGAGGGCTTGCGAACAGAGGCAAAAAATTATGACATTAGACGAGAGATTGAAGTTAATTCGGGACGTTGGGGCAAGAAGGGAACAAATTATGGGAAAATTCGGTCCTGCAGTAACTGCACACACGAGACAGCAGGCGTGGCTCGACATTGCCGATGCAATGAATGAGCAGGGAGCTCAGAGGACCGCAAAGCAGCTGAAGGAGGCGTGGCAAAACCTCCTGAAAAAATGCAGAAAGGTCTACAGCGCCTACAAGAAGCATGAAGGGCGCACAGGTGAGTCGGAGGAATTTGCATATTTCGAAAAACAAATTAGTTTTCAATTGTTTGCTTTAAAGATGAGTGGGGGGGGGGGGGGGGGCAGGGACACAAAAAATAAACAGAACCTTTTCTGCCATGGATTATAATGCCGTGTTTGCATTTAATTTTTTTATGGCATGACTGATGACAGATATAAAAGTGAGTGTTGACGTGTAACTTTCCACTACATTCCTGTCCCTGTTCGAAAACAGTAATAAAATCAAAAGAGGCAACATCTCAAAACACTTTATTGAAATTTCCTTTAACCGTGTTTTAGTAACCGAGACACACATGAAACAGCAAAAAGTGTGGTAGACCTGAGACAGAGGAGATCAAAATGTTGAAAGCACACCACCTAAACTGTGCCTTTCCTGTTGTTTTTAAGAAAACAGTCCTAAAACTTATGGCATTGTTGTTCATCGAACACGTCGCTGAATACCCTACATTACTGCATCCTCAAGGCACACAGAAAGCACTATGTACAAAGTTGACTGCAGCACAATTGCACGCAGCGATGTGCATGTTGGAAGGTCACTGTTGCGAGATCACTCCACTGCAATGTTAAGAAGTTACATTTCTGCCACACAGTATAAATTACTATGCTTTTATTTGATGCTTCATAATGCTGTTCGATTTCTGCTGTTTATATTCTAGCTTGGTAGTTGGTTATTGATCCCCCTCCACTCTGCAATGCCTCTGGGGCCCGGGTGACTACGGAATGAAAATAATGTGCATTCATTTGATAGGTGCCGGCCCGAACCCCCATGAACTGACGCCCCTAATTCAGGCAGTTCTCGACGTGATCGGCGTCGACTCGCCGAACCTGTGTGGGCTCGATGTCATTGAGGGTGACACGGAAGAGTGAGTGGATTACTCTTACATCAGTCTGTATGACAAGTCAACAGCACTGGGTGCCGGGCATGCAGAACAGCTCTGTTATTAATGGTGGGACCCTAAGAAACTGATGTGAGAACAGAGAGATTGCAAAAATTGTCATAGTGCCATACACACAATATCTAATTGGAAATCAGCGCACTTTCATGTATCACTACTGCGTGATGCAGCTTAGGGATAGGGAGCCCAGGCTAGCGGACATACTGCACTGCCTTTGGCTCACTTATGGCAAGCATGTAATCGTGAATTTCTCTTCATTTTACTCATACGGCTGCATAATTGCTCTACAAACAACCTGCAAAACACACACAGAAGGATATGTAGCAAAATGTGCTCATTACTAACATAACTAACACCCAGACAACAGAACTACCGATGTACCAAAGGCAGATATCCGAGCAAAGAGTTGTAGTACACTTTTTGATGGTTGAAGGAATGCAAGGTGGTGATATTTAGTTCTAACCTCTTAACCAACAGGTGCAACAAATAATACAATATTCTTCCTTTGAAAAAGAAAGGTATAACCCTGTTGTTACGCATGATATTTGATTAGTTGTTGAATGAGTGAACAAACTCATCGTTTACGCTGTGACGAACTAGTGCGGAACGCAAAAAGGAAAGAGGTAGCGTTGCTGGCATCAGTTATCGGTTTAACAGCAGGATAGAAAGCCATAGCAAGATTGACTCTATACATAGCCAAGCGAAGACTCCTTTGTAGCATCGTGGATTTCGTAAACAACGAGACTTGAATGTTTGGTTTCACAACATCCTTAGCTGAAATAAATGGCAAGGTTAAGAAATTTATAAGAAAGCTAAAGGTAATGAAATACTGAAAGTTGCAACCGGTACAAGGAATATTACCGTAATATCCCGAGAGACGACCCATCCCCAACAGATAGCCCATCCTGATTTGTAGCAGGACTTTCTATTTTTCAATGGCTCAAGCTGAGCTACCTTGTGAACACCGAATGTTAGCCTACCCCTTATTTTTACCTAATGTGCTCTCAGTTTTGGGTGGGCAATTTCTTGGGATATTACGGTGAGCATGGATTTCTGCACGAGCACCATGTGTGTGGTCCACTCGGAGATGCTTGAATCATCAGAGAGTTTCTGTTCTGCAGTTAAGTACACTGTGGCAAAATTCCAGCAACATGTCGGGGTTACAAACACTGTATGTTATACGTATGTTGCCTGCACACTCCTAATAACTACAGCAAATCACTTCCTGCATATCCATTTGTCACAGCGATAGCTTGAGGCAAACGGCAGCGCCGCAGCCTCGGGCGTCAGGAAGCGGCCAAAGGGTGGCAGCAGCAGAAGAGTGGGCAGCAGCTCCCCGTGTCTTGCAGACGAGACGTTGGTGCCGGGAAGCTGCGCAGAGGTATCAGCAGCAAGCTGAGGACCAGCAGCAGATGGAGGCGGAGAACCTAATGTTGGATAGGGAGGAAACAAAAAGAGCCATAGATGCCTCCAATGCACAAATCGCTGCAGCAGATGCTGCTAAACAGTATTACACTGAAATGCTAAGGCTACAAACCTTGCAGGCTGAACTTCAAATTGAGCTTTTGAAAAAACAATTGGGAAAGGACTAATCAGAACAGACCAAGGGGGGGGGGGGGGGGGGTGGGGGGGGCATTAAGTTCTAAGATTTTTTTTTTTTTTTTTTTTTAGATTGACGAAGCAAGGGTGGATGTGAAATAATAAAAGTACATTTTGAAATGCAAGGATTTGTGAAAACCTCAGTATGTTATGGGGTAGTCGTCCCTGGAGAAAAACACTCGACCCTATGCGACAGCCAGTAAGATGGTGCAAGTAATTTTAACGAATAATGAAATATTTTTATCGCCTCCCCAGTATTCCAGAGTACCACATTGGTATCCGACACCAGCGACAATCTAACCCGCGGAGTTTCCATACATGTGCGCAAGCCTGTCGACACGTCAAAAACATCATTGTTGGGCACTAAGGAAAGAAGCTTAACAATTCGACCCTGCTCAAAACAAAACAGCAAGTAAGCAAATAACCTAGGAAGTGCCTGCACGGCGCAAACAGTGATTATGCGTTTAAATGCATGGTTACTGGTGTGACCACTCGGTGTGCCTGATTTCTTCGAGGAGAGAGTGTCGTGGAATTTACACCGATCAGGAACTCTGTACTCTTTTTGTTCACTTCCCGAAAAAAAACAGGCATTACCATACTTCAACGTTGTTCGACAGCGATTTTATATACCCTTTACTCTTTTACTAAGTGAAATAACCAATGACAGAATTATTCCTCTTATGTACATGACCCATTAGTGGCTGTTATAATCGGACCACTACTGTGACGCATACAGGTTGACTCCTCTCACCTGTAGAATACTTTTAAATATGGTAATAATACCAACTTATAGGACAGAGGCGCAATAAAATGAAATGGTATTATTTTTAAGGCTATTATTTCGCTCACCCCTATAATTACTCGCACTGAGGGCATTGATGTTCGCGTAGCCTGTAGTACGAAGACAAGCACGATGACCAACACGCAGAAGTGGGCCGAAGCTTTTCGCACAAAAGCCGCACGCACTGTTGACCGAGGCACACAACAGCAATATATTGCAGGACTTTTGCGTATGTGGTTCCATGGGTCATGCAGCAATTTCACTGTTAAACGCAGTTGCAATTATGCTGCTTGACCAACTCTAACCTTTTACAACGAGGTACGCTGCAAGACATGTCAATCAATCTTTGGGCGTTTGTTACTACATACCGAAACTGGATGAGGCGAGAATGATTCTGATCCGTGCCTGCAATGCTGTTCAGAAGAGTTACCTTGTTTGGACACCGCCACATTACATCTTAAGTGCATGTCATTGTTGCAACCAACAAAAAACATGCTGCAATGAAGAGGGTTTGCGAGACAATATGGTTTGCAATGTTTGAGGCACTCTTTCTGCTACAGTGTTCGGAATCAGGAAAGGGTACAGACGTCTTCAATAAGAGGGTGGACGCCTGAGCGGCATACGACGGGCTCTGCATCATCTCCAAGCGACGCTTTTGCAAATAAAGGTGGATAGCAGTCGCAGCACAACATCTGCTTGCTCTAATATCTGTCAATGCATCCATTCTTTTGCAACGAGTGAATTCCGCAAAGCCTGTTTACCCTCGTATTGAAACCATACATGAAGAGTGCTTAATAAAGATTAAAATATCTATGTTCTCCAAGGAATATGCTGGGGTTGGTTCAGCCCCTTATATCAGCTGCTGGTAAAACCACAGCCAAAAGATGCCACGAAGCATTCAAGAAAATTTATTATATGAAATCGCGTGCCACATTCAACTTGTTATTATGGTTATCCATTTACAGAGCCTGGTAAACACACAGAGAGGACAATATCTCTGTATGTTTCTCGCATTCAAGAAAATCAGTTTGAATTGAAAAGACCACATACCCACATACTTACGCTCAACAGAAGAACTGGTCGACAAGGGCACGCCGGGCCTCGTTGCTTTCTCCACGGCCGGCTGCCATGGGCTCCACAGGAACCTCAGGCGGGATGGCAGTCCCTGGCATCGCGCAGGGGTATCTCTTGGCGAGATTGTGGAGCACGCAGCATGCCACGATGATGTCGCAGCATCTGCTTGGCTCCATGCGCAGCTCGGCGTGCAGGCAGTGGAACCTGCGCTTCAACTGGCCTATTGTCCTGCGTGCATCATATGGACAGAATGAGTATTATTTATTTAAATTACACTAATATATTAGGGCTGAGACTATTTCATACTTTCTGAATGCTGTAGCCTACCGAAAACCCGGCAATCATTTCTTATCATTTCCAAGATATATAACAGTATGTTTACATGTAGACCATATTAAACTTCCCTCGACAAATGTTCCTCATTGGTGAGTGTAAGCGAAACACAGTTTCATACAAGCAGTCGTTAACATTAGCAGTCCGAAGATGTCTGTCAACGACTTCCCTATAGCAACCCGAGCCCGGTGCAATTTGTCACATTTTTACCGCGAGTCCCAGCAGTGTAGAGTATTTTAGAATGTATGACAAGTAGGCGTGTAATTTCTGTGAAGGTGGGGCCGGAAAAAAAAAACACGGCTTTGCATTTGTATATTTTTGCTCTTCTGTATCCAGGTTGAACCAAAATATTGCCTTTCACACGTATGTAACTAATCCTGCCCCTAACGAACGAACAATGTGATATGTTCTCCAAAAAATATGTCGGAGAATATTTCACGTTTTTGTTTTTTGATACGATGCATGCGTTTTGCGTGTCTGCTTTTTATGCAACACTGCATATATGTGTCTACGTTGCACCCTTATGCAGGCCCTCGGGCTGTATAGGGGCACTGGAAAGTACAATAAATAAATATATATTCTTGGGATAGTATTTTCTTTCTTCTCTCTTTAGGTTCCGTGCAATTACTGTTTTCTGCTGGGTCTAGAGAACACAAAACTGCATGTAGGGGCGTTACAATTAACAGTGTCTTCTGTGCTATGACAACAAAATGTTACGTTGTCTAGTGGCATTCTTTTCAATATAGCAGCCCAGTAACCCACCACGATGCGTGACTTTGTCTTACCTTTCAACAATACTCCTTGTCGTGGTGTGTGCCGTGTTGTACCTCACTTCTGCTGCTGATGATGGCGACAGGAATGGCGTCATCAGCCACGGCTGGCAGGTGTAGCCGCTGTCGCCGAGCAATAGGCCATCGTAGATGCCATAGGCCAGCTTGACTGATAGTGTGCTCTCGGTGAAAATCCGGGAGTCGTGCGTGCTTCCCGGCCATCTCGCAACCACATTGCGTATGCGGCAGGACGCGTCAACTACCACCTGTACGTTGATGGAATGGTACAGGTGGCGGTTCACGTACACCTCCTCGTGCACGCGCGGTCCCTGGATTCGAATGTGGGTGCCATCAACAGCACCCACGACACAAGGGAACCCGGCTACGTCAAAGAACTGCTTCTGCAAGGCAGCACTCTCTGCGACGTCAGGCCACCTGCATTGCCAATACATTCACAAGTTAATTTACAGTACAATACCCTAGCATGCACATTTATGCAAAGTTTAGCCGACAACATTCTTTTTTTTTCTGCTTCAGTGTTCATCGTAAAAAAGAAATGTCGTAAATATCGCCAAATGCCTCGACAGAACGAAATGTTCGAGAAAAAAAAAGTGGGCCCACACCGCGGATCGAACCCGTGTCCACTTATGTATGAAGCAGACACCTTACCCCCCTATGCATGGTGTATGCCCCTTTGCTATGCCATCTTTTTTTTTTTTTTTTTAACCCTATGGTATGCCATTGTTTATAAAACACGTAGTAACCATTCGTGTTATAGGCTCCCTGCACTGACGTCACATCGCATACTTTTGAACACCAAGTAAAAGGAGGAGAGGGAAACTGCCTTTGTAAGAATGTTGAGTGACAGGTTAATCTTCTCTAATCATCTGGCAGGAGAATAGCAACGCCTGTGCAAACCCGGGAGGCACAAAGGAGGACCCTGATAAGAGGGGAGCTCCTTCTTTCCCTCTTCTCTGGAGGGCAGTTTCGCGTATTGCGTATAGCCCTTTCCGGCCGAGGTGCACGACGGAGTGCGTATAGCTTTACTCATAAACAAACTCAACACAATCTGACTTTTTTTTTTGTTTTTTGACTCGGAACGCTTAGGAACTCTTTACCGTATGAAGTCTTACCGTATGAAGTCCCTTGCTCGACGTGCCAGAGCTACGGTGACCTGCCTCACAGACCGTGAAGCACTAGAGACTTGCACGTGGACGTAGTCGCCTGCAGTGATGAGGAAGTTGCCTGTGGCGTAGAATTGCAGAGCGACGATCACCTGCTGCTCTGCGGACAAGGCGCAGCTGCGACGCGTCGACCGCTCCAAGTCCGGGCGCAGCGTCTCCGCGAGAAACATAATTCCCGCGCGACCAAACCGGAATCGTTGCTGCAGCGCATCCTCGTCGAATTCTTCCAGCGGATCGAGGCGGTCCCGGAACACACGTTGTCGTCCCAGCATGACGACAGCGTACTGCGCGTACGCGCGGTCTCGTCGACGTCGACGCCTCGTCCCGTTCGACATCGTTTCCGTTATCAAAGTACAAATAGGTCCGCAAATCAGTTGTTAGTAAGTCCGCAGTCGGTCGGTGGGCTAATCGGTGGATCGGTTGGGCAAACGGAAGAGAGGGCAAACAGTTGAGATCAGCAGGAATCGTAGAAACGTGCGTCGCAGGGAACAAAAACGAGTCTACAGCAGCGGCGTTGCCAGACTGGAAGGGACTCGGGAAAGTTATGCGTTAGTTTATGGCGAAACATATTGAAGGAAATGTTTCTTACGTCTTCAAATATTCGTCGACAAACTCTAGCATGGTAGCTAAAATTTCTTCGTAGCATCTGAAGCAAATAAATTGTTCTTCAAGTACAACATTACTATATTTTGACTTAAAATACTATACTAGAGTGATAACAACAAGCGGAAAAAGAGAATAAACAAAATGACTGGCTTGTTTCACCGATAGATTACGCATCTTACTGCCCAATCAAAAATAATTATTGTGGTTTTTTATCCAGCCGTTTATTATAGTACCTAGGTACTTTTTCCTTCCTTGGTACCGTGGTTTACTAAAATGGGTTTACCATCGCTTCGAGAAAACCGGCCCAGGCCAGTAGAATTCCTCCTGGATGCGATTAGTGGTCTTCTTAGTTTCCTGATGCCCGGACATGATTCGTTCGTGCGCCAATTTCAGTACGATGGTTCGGAAATCTCTCGGAACAACCAGATGTTCCCATTGCTTGTGTGCCGGCGTCTTGTACCTCCTGTAGAGGGTTTCATTACGCAACACGAATTCAGACTCGTGTGATTTTCCCGAGATATACTTTTTGCCGACGCCAGCAAAGCAATTCTTCAACGATTCGTCATTACGTTGAGATAGTTTCAACTTGTTGTGGTCAATTCCCGTCGGTTCGAGCGTCATAACCGGTAGTTGGGAATTTTTTTCCTTGCCGGCTACTCTCTTCAGCGCTCCCGCAGAATTAATCTCCGGCACCAAGACGTCACAGCCTTCTTTTCCACTCTCGTCAAGAACGAGTCCTTCGCCAGTCTCACTTTTTCCTGACGTCCCCTTGGATGTCTGTCTCCCTTCGTTCAGTTGAGACCCGCTTAGTCTTCCCTCGTCATTCCATTCTTCATCGGGATCATCAATTCCTCTCACCCCATGAACATTTCCTAACACCAAATCGTACAACGGGTTGTCCATGCACTTGGCTGTTAGACTGCCCGTAAGAAACGGAGTTCTCACCTCTATCTCTGCCTCTGGCAGGTACTTTACAGTCCTATCAAGTAGGAAAACGGGACTAGAGACACCGGTTAACTTATCATCGGGAACCAGATTTCTTTTTACCACAACCGTGTTGCAGCCGCTGTCTCTCAGTACGGTGACCGGACGACCGCACACTTCTCCCCTCACCACTCGCATATTATCTACCAGGAACCATGGAGCCTTTCCGAGTGCCGCATTTACTATCGGTATCTGTTCTCCGTTTCTCAGTACAATGTATGTCTCTTCTGGATTTTCGCTGTCAGCGACTGTCAACACACAGGATGCCTGAGGAGTCTTGCTACCTTTATCTTCTGGCTTCCAGTTACACGCATCTGATTTGTGTCCTGGATTGCCGCACCTCCAGCACGCAGATCCGTGTTGAGCTCTGGAACTGGTCCAGCATTCTGCGGCTTTATGTCCAGGCTTGTTGCAGAGGAAACACCGGCTCACTCGCTTGGTGGGAACTTTCAGTCGACTACCCTCTTTATTACGACCTCCACTCTTATGGCTTAGGTTCTCTTCTTTCGAGCTAGACAAGCTAGTTTGGCCCTGCGCTTTCAAAAAGTGGTCTGCAGTTACTGCCAAACTCTCGAGGGTTTTGCAGTCTCTCTCCTTCAAAAATATAGACAGCTTTGTGCTACATTTTCTTAAGAACTGCTCTGCGACCATGCGATCTCTGAGCCTTTCAAATGTCTTAATGGTCTCACCCGTCTCAAGCCATCGGTCGAAATAACCGAGGAGCCGAGCTGCAAATTGTCTCCCGGTCTCTGACTCTTCTGGCTGGCTTTGCCGAAATGTTTCCCGGTAGCCTTCTGCTGTGTAGCGAAACCGCTGGAGCAGGCTAAGCTTTACTTTTGAATAGTCCAATGACTCTTCGGGTGTCATCCTTCCAACGACCGTTAAGGCCTCACCGGTGAGGCAGAGACTTAAAGACATCGCCCACTTTTCTTGGGGCCATTCCTGACTGGTCGCCACTCGCTCGAAACGTCGGATGTGAGCGTCCAGGTCGTCTCTTTTGTCATTAAATGGTGGGATTAATTTATGAGGGCTACGATAGCATGTTTGCCTCCCTGGGTTTTCTCCACCGCCAGTATCCTGCGGATCCTCATCTTGAGGTGAACTGTTGTTTCCTCGCAACTGAAGACGCATCTGCAGCACCGCCTGCTCTTGTTGGAATCTGTGAGCTTCTCTGTCAGCCGTCTCTTGCGCCTCCTTAGCTGCCGCTCTTGCATCTTCTCTCATTCTGACCCGTTCTTCTTTCTGTCTGACTATTTCTTTTTCGACCCATTCGCGGAGTTCTATGCCCGCATACGCCAGCTCTCTCTAAGATGTTAAAAAGAGAGAGTCCTGTCGCGGACGCCAGATTGTGATGGAAAAAAAATATAATAGTTAAAAGGACTCGGAATTCCAGTGCGGTGAATATAAGAAGGTAGATATTGCTGACAGTCGTATAAACATGAAGTTAGGAAACAATGGGGTGGCTATATATACAGAGTTCAGTTCGCCGCATCCGCTTACGGCCCGGTGGTGCACGTCGACGTAGGCATGGCGTTCATCTTGTCCAGGGAATGTTCAGCTGCTTGCTAGGCACAGGCGGAGGCTTCTCAGCGAGCTTGGGTGAAAGCCCCACGGGCCTGGACTCGTCCGTCCGGGCTCCTCTTTGGCTGCCGAGACCACCGCTGTCGAGCCGGGTTCAGTGTCGTGCCCGCCCTTCTCTTTTTTCCAGGCACGAGCTTGTGGCCCCTCTTCCCTTCTCGTCGTCGTCTTCGTTTTTTCCGTTTATCCCACTCTTGCCTTGAACCTCTTTGTATTTAACTCAGACCACCAGTGTTGTTCAGTCTAGAGCCACTAAATGAGCTGACATTGTTGTGGGCGCCGCCATTTTGGCTCGTATGCAGAGCAGACGCAACTGCCGATCGTCATGATTCAAAAGTGCGACTTCCTCAGCATTAGATTCGGTGTTAGGAAGGTCACGTAATATTGATTTGCTCTGTCGCGAACTGTTCAAACATTTCTGGAGGGTGGAAAGGCGTTTGCTGTGGTTTCAGATGAAGGTTCAGATAACTGGCAACCATGATTTTAAGACACAAAATGGCCAAGTGTCGCTACTCTGAAGCGTAGCTTATTTAGTGGCACTAGCTCAGTCCAACTCAGTTTTCGCGCGCGTCGTTTTCCTCATCGTTGGTTCTCCCACATCATCACAGACAGCGGGTTGCCGGCCAGTAGAAATTCCCCAAGTCAAACAAAGTCCGGCAGCTTCACTTTCACTAATTTGCTTGTGCAACCAGTTCGTGGCATACCTGCCGCGGTTTAAGGTTTTTTTCCTTGGTGCTCAGACGTCGACCACCGCCACTCGGAGGAGCTTAAAGGAGCTGTGCAACGATTTTAACGTTGAAAGAATTGGCATTTTCTGCTTTTGATATTGTTCACTGTGTCACAAATGGCAGAAAACACACCTCCTTTCATCGCAATGTTGCGATTCCACCGCGTAATAGCGAGGCAAAACTTGGAATACTTCCCGACCTGCAGCCACGAGCGGCGGCCATGAGAAACAAGCGGCGTGACGTCACTTGGGTCGTTGTAAGAAAGATAGCAAGTTGTGCGAATACCTGCTCGATAAAAGGTAACTTTTTTTATAAATCTTGTCGTTCCAACATATATATAAATGCGTCAAAACCCTGGTATCATCGACAAAACTTTTATTATACGGAGTTTTAGTGGCGCCATCTATCCTAGGTTTACAAAACCGTGAACAGCCGCCAGAAGCCGGAGGAGGAGGGGGACAGCGCCGGACGGGCAAGGACGGGTGGTCACGCGGTCGCGAGCGGATGAGTTCTCGCTGCTCGCTGATGGCTCTAAAGAGAGAACTTTTCCGGAACTCCGCGCCTACTCTAGTGACGTCACTGTGCACGTGACCCGGAAGACGATGCACGAGTTGAGAGGCGGCAAAAACCTGGATCTTTTTCATTTTTTTAAGTAAAAACTAGGGTATCCAGGCAAAATCTGTTTTCTGTAGTTCACTGCAGAAGTGTCAGGCATCAACTTCCACAATTATTTAAGCAAAGCCCTGAAATTGTTGCACAGCTCCTTTAAGGCGACAAACGGAAACCAATTTTTTACAATCAGTCTTTGAAGTCGTACCGCCGACATGGTCAATCCCTTCAAAGTAGTAGAGTTTCACATTGGGCCAGCCGCGCGTCATGCGGCTAGATGGCGAGTCGGCGACGGCCCAGGATGTCCCCTGGCCAATCAAACTGCATGTGTGTCTCTAGGGTTCCACAGCCGACGTGACGAACGGCAAGATGCAGTGACGATCGCAAGGCTTCCTCACTTCTTAAATGTGCCGCTGTGAAAAAGAAATTATGTCCCTCCTGGTTCAACGTTACTTGAGAGCCTGTAAATGCAGAGGTTGGTATTTTTGTTTTAACGCTCTCGCTCACAACTAACTTAAAAGAAATAAGTAAAGAAAGACAAAAACTCCTTCACTCTTTATGTACTAACTCTTAAACTCATGAACTCACCGAACTCATGAACTCACCGAGCTCACGAACTCACTGCCCTCACCGAAATTATGAACTCACCAAACTCGCGCCCCTCACCGTCCTCCCCGAACTGACAAACTCACGCCCTTCAACGAATCAAAGAACTAACTCACTCATTGACCTCAGTGACTCAGAAGTATTTCTCGCCTTCACAAGTGGCGGTGGTGGCGCTCGTCTTGTGTGCGGGTTGCGCGGCTTTTACATCTCCACCATGGTCGCTGCCGCCTTCCGCCACCGTCGCTTAGGCACCAGCCGTCATGTCACCAAGAGAATAATTTTGTTCTTTTTGTTTGTTTTGCTTCTATGCCTTTCGCGCGCCGGCCCATCCTCGAAGAAGGCGCACTTTGTTAGAATACATGGGCGCATC